ACAATAGAAGATACTTTATAGACATTCTTCAATACGAATTGATTCACAAGGCCAGGAGTGAAAGGCATAAAATTATGTCCAAAATGTCTGAAACCGGGCATCCTAAAAATAAGGAGAAGTAAACACCTAACACATACGAAAGAAGTTATCTTCAAGTTCAATGATGAGATTTTGTAAGTTATAGAAAATGTGAAACTAAAAAAGAATGTGCTAAACTTATTTGTGTTGTTTTCTTAATGAGTGCAAAATAATGAACTATTATGGTTTTATTTACAAGAAAAACATACAAGTTTAAGTTGGATTTAACACTATTCACAGATTTCTTACTCAAACTAATTAAATAAAAATTCTTAGGAACCATCATCATTTTTATTGTTGATTGCTCAACATTTCAAAATGTTTTCTGAATAATCTTGGAAATAACCAAAAAGTCTAAGAAGAGTCATTACTAGAACAGGAAAAAATTAGGTAATACTTAAACTAATTGTAAGGCTATATTGTGACTATTTGTTGAGTTCCATCTTCATTAGACATTGTTAACCTATAACTCTTACCTCATTTCATACTCAGAGCTAGGACATTGAATAACTTATTACAAATTAATACAGCTCATCTATTGCAGAGCCAAGAATCAAATTCAGATCAATGTGACTCTAAAATCTGTCCTCTTTCTCCTAAATTGCGTTGCTTTCTAAGTTGACTTGTTTAATAAATGCTGAAATAATTGGTCTTTGTTAATACATGTGTACAACAGCTCATAGTTAATGAGGATCTGTAATGTCATGAAAATAATAGTCACTCAAAAAATAGTGTCTGAATCATGGTCAACTAACTCATCTCCAGAAAAAGACAGACCATCACTCAACTTAAAATATATGAAAATAAAATATTTACTATTTTAAAAATATACACATGTATTGATTAACTATCTTGTTGCTGAGATCAAATCCCTGACACCTGCACTGAAAGGAGGAGAGGTTTATTTAGCTCACAGTTTCAGAGGTTTCAGTCCATAGTCAGCTGGCTCCAATGCAGAAATACCATGGTGAAAGAACGCAGTAGAGCAAAGCTACTCACTTCATGGCAGCTGGGAAGCAGCACATGGGAAGAGGACCAGAAAGAAAGGGTGCAGATATGTTACCCAAGGTCATGACCCCATGACCAACCCAAAAACACCAAGAAGTATGTTTCATTAGGCAACTCTCAAGCCAATCAGGCTTAACCATATACATATATATACATGTGCAATGTATAAACATGCTTTTATCTATATAAAACATTTTGTTTTGTATTTTTATTTTATATTAACAATTATGTTTTGAAATATCCTCAGAAAATATAATCCATAGTCTTATGTAGCAATAAATTTATTTATATTTTTAACAATTATTTTTAGAGTCCTAAAAATAAATAATTAAGTACTTTATACAGTGAAACTTCAAAGCAAGTGAAGTCTTTGAGTTCAGTATGAAAATAATAATAAAAACATGTCTTTGAAGTCTTAAAAAGAAAACACAAAAATGTGAAATTTAACATTTAATTCCTCTTTGTAATAATCTCTAATGTAAATATTTTTATTTTCTCTTTATTTCATACAATTATCTCTACCACCAAGGTTATACAACAATTTTCTGAATATGCTTCAGCTCCTCTGATGACATATAACTTGATAATCTGCAGTGGGTAGAAAGAAAAATTTTGAATTCATTTATCTTAGTGACCCACGAAGGAAGTCAAGATGTTGCCAATGTAAACCACAAGTCTTTCAGTCACATGCTAAGACATCTAATATCAACACATTTTTGAAATCCACAGAATTTCTCACCTACTTTTAAAAAATAAATCTGTCACTGAAAATAGATAATCATAAATAGAATCCTTTGAATCACTGCTAAGTCTAAAATGAAAAAGTATTGCTCAATGGTTCACTTTTAAGTTAATAATTTAAAAAGTACTTCATATCTTTCAATCATTGTAAACTACCTTACACTAAAACTCAGAGGTGAACGATGTAGAAAAAGTGTCAAGAATTCTAGTGTCCATATGTGACATTTTGACATTAAGGAAAAGCAAAGCACTCTTTTTCTTTTCTTTTTTTTTTTTTTTTGAGTCAAAAGTCTGCTTTTCATTGGTACAATTTAGGTATACAATATAATGACATTCATCATTGGAAATTTGCACCTTTACATAATTTCTCTTGGTTCGTATTTTTCACGCTTCCCCTGCCCTCCCTTCAACCCCTCAATCCATTTTCAAAGACTTTGTTTCCATTTTATCATTTTCTCATATTAATTCCATTCCCTTCTTTCCTTTCCCCTACCAATCACACTTCCCCTTCCCCTTTGCCCCTTTTCTTCCTATTTCACATTATCTATTATACCATTTAGATCTTATTTACACTCTCAGTTTCTCACACTAGAGAAATTATTTGGTATTTACACATGTGCATCCTGTTCATTTCACTTAAGAGTATCGCCTCAATGTGCATCCATTTAGCTATAAATGTCTCTAATTTCTCATTTTTTATGACTGAGTAGTACTCCATTTTATAAAAAAAACACACTTTCTTTAGCCAGTCTCCAGTTGATGGGCATTTGGGCTGCTTCCAAGTATTAGCTATCACAAATTGTGCTGCTATGAACATGGGTGCACATATATTGCTGTGGTATGATTCTTTTAATTCTTTGGGGAAGATACCCAGCAGGGGAATGCTGGGTCAAATGGGACTTCTAGTTCTAGTTCTTTTAGGTATTGCCATACTGATTTCCACAGTGGTTGCACCAGTCTACACTCCCACTATCAGAGGAGCAGCGTTCCTCTTTCCTCACAGCCCCATCAGCATTTGTTATTGGTTGATTTCATGATAGTAACCATTCTTTCTGGAGTGAGGTGGAGTCTTAGCATTGTTTTCATTTGTATCTCTCAAATGACCATTTTTTCATATGTTTATTTGCTATTTCTACTTCTTTGTCTGAGGAATGTCTGTTCATTTCAGATGTCCATTTTTGGACTGGGTCTTTAAATTTGGGAGGTCTGATTTTTTTTAGTTCTTTATAGATTTGAGAGAGTAGACCTCAGTCTGAGGAACAGCAGGTAAAGATTTTTTCCCACCTTGTGGGTTGTCTCTTCACACTGTTGGTGGTTTCTCTTGCTGTGCAGAAGCTTTTTAATAAGAAGAGATCCCACTTGTTGATTGTTTGTGCTAGTTCATGGGCAACTGAGGTTTTAAAATCTTTTCCTACCCCAATGTCTTCAAGAGTTCTACCTAACCTCTGTTCCAGCCAATTCAGCATTTCAATTTTAATATTTAGATCCTTAATCCATTTCATTTTTAGTTTAGTGCATGGTGAGATATATAGGTCTAGTTTTAATCTTTGGCAAGTTGAAACCCAATTTTTCCAGCACCATTTATTAAAGAGGCTATCTTTCCTCCAGTGAAGGTGTTTGGCTCCTTTATCAAAGATGAGATGGCTGATTGTGTCTGGAGTTGTTTCTGCATCTTCTAATCTGTTTCACTGGTCCTCAGGTCTGTTTCTTTGCCAGTGCCATGCTGTTTTTATCAAGTAGCTTTGTAGTATAGTTTCAAGTTGGGATGGTGATACCTCCTGCCATGTCTCTGCTGCCTAGAATTGCTTTTGCTATTCTGGGTCTCTTCTTGTTCCAAGGATCTTGAGAAAAAAATCCAAAAATTCATTTGGAACAAGAAGAGACCCAGAATAGCAAAAGCAAAGTACTGATTCCCACACAGGTCTTTCTTCCAAGGTTGGCAGTGTTGCAATATGAAGTACTCTGCACATGCTTATCTTATTTTTGTTCAAAGGCCACCTCCTGGGGAGGTCTCCTTGATTTCCTACCAGTCACGCATTCTTCCAAACAGAATAGTAGCTCTCTATTCTCGCACCCAAAGAACTCCACCAGCCCACTTATTTTACTACGTTGTAATAAGTACAGGGTTTTTTTTTTTACCATACTGTGCAATTTGGGTCTGATAAAGAAATATCTTAGTCATCATTCAACATAAAATTTTTTTCTTAGCATTTTCCTCCAAAATAAAACATTTACCATACTTTCCATCATTCCATATATAAAAGTTTTCCAAGTCCCTTAAACAAGCTGGTCAGTCTTGCCTCAGTGGTCTTTTATTGGGAAAATCCCCATGCCTCAAAAATAGCAAATATGGGTTACAATCTATGTATATGAAGCTAATCTCCAGAGTTCTCTAGAGTTAAGTCATTATGGTTCCTTGTGCATAAAACCATCCAATAAATGTTTCTCCAAATAACTATCTTGAATAGTGTGTAAAATAGATGAAGTCTGCCAAGAGGCACATATTAAGTAGCACTTAATGCATCTCTGTGCAGTACACCTGACAAAATCATCTTGTAAGGAAGACAGTCTCATCTTGGCTCACAGATTCAGAACTCTCAGTCTGTGTTGTTCAGTCCTGTGGCCAAGACCACTAGATATCACAGCAGGAGCACTTGGTGGAAGAGGTCTGTTCACTGCATGGTTACTGGGAAACAAGGAGTGAGGGGAAGCTGCTGGGACCCCCTATCCTCTTCCTGAGCCTGCACCCAGTGACCCAACTTCCTCTTAGTAGGCCTCGACGTCTACCAGTTCCACCACCTGCCCTATTATGAGAGGCTGGTGACAAAGCCTTCAGTATACAGTCTTTGGGGGACACTGAAGGTCCAAGCTGTAGCAACCCATGCACCAGACCCTGGCCATCAGGACACAGGCACCTCAAATGCCTTTTGTGCAGCCTCCCAGCATGCATTCACCTATGTCACAATTTTGGTTCTATCAATATTAATCGATTTCTTTTTCTTAACATCTTCTGCTGCTTCTTACACACAAATGTAAATTGTGATCTCAAAGAAGCATTGTCCAAATTTATTGATCACATTACTCTGTTTTCACAATCCATCTTGAAGAAGCATCTCGGGAGACTGCTACGAGCCTGTGTTCTGGAACTGTGATAAGACACATGAGAGAATCACCTTAAAAGGAGGAAGAAAAGTTTTTTGGGCTCACGGTTTCAGAGGCTCAGTCTCTAGTCCCTTGGCTGTTTTGCTTTCTGCAATGACAGCATAGTACATTGTGGTTGCAGCATGTGGTAGAAGAGGCCTGTTCACTGCATGGGATCTGGGAAAACAAACAAGAAAACAGGTTAGGAAGGGGATGGGGTCCAACATTCCCTTCAAGGTGCATGCACCCCCCAAGTGGCCTCACTTTCCTCACCCAGCTCCCACCTCTTCAAGGTTCCATGACCTCCCAAACATAGGCCCAAAGGCTGGTGACCAATCCTTCAACACACGGCTGCAGGTAGACAGTCAAGCCCCACTCTGTAGCAAGTAATTTGTGCAATGCCTCCTTGACAAGTAAACAGGTAACTGTAGTCTAAGGAAATAAGAGAGACAATGGCATCTCAGGGTGAGCTCCAAGTACAGAGGAAGATTTCAAAGACTGAGGAAGTGAGGGAGAGTTTAGAAAGAAGTTATATAGAAATCCATCTCCAAAAATAAGTCTGAAGAAGGGGAAGTCTGTGGCGAGGTGTGCAGAAAGACTCCTCAGAGATGGACAAAGGACAAAATGGTTAGCTGTACACGGGGCCACGCAATCCCATCCACACTAGTGGTGCAACACACGTGGAAGGCGCCCCTGGTACTTGTGTTGAGAACTTGACTGGTAAAGTCAGGAATTCTCACTACCCCCATCCCTATTCTTCCAGAAAGTAGGCAAAACCAAGAAGAATAAAAATTTAAAATTAAATTTAAAATATTTTCAAAGAAGACTGAGAGCATGTGATATAAAGGTCCCTGACGTTAAATATGCATTGTTACAAACTGTGTTAGGCAGAAGTTATTGAGGAGTGGAAGCACAGAAAGTGGGCCATGACCGGGATTGCATCAGACCCTAAAAAACACAGAAAAAAACATAATAGCCACCCTGAAACCTAAAAACTGCCATCTTTGCTTACAACAAGGGTATGGGAACTGTGTTGACCAAAGCAGATAACAAGTGGATTTAGACTCTCAGAAGATGAAGGGCTCGGAAAGAATCAAACCCAAAGCCCTATTTGCAGGAAGCTGCTTCTGTGGTGGCAGAAGAGGAGCAATCACTCCCTCTACTCAACTGGAATGCAACTTCCAGAAAACAGCCAATCCTGGAAAGTCTCAGATCATCTGACTTAACTAAATTAACAAGAATGAAACAAGTAAAAGATCAATAAAAGGCAGTATGAGGGGGAAATGCCACCAAGAAGAATGAAAAAAAAAATTCCTGCAATGTCTTAAATCACTTCATGAAATCTCATTAATTAAAACTGTGTGGCTGGGAGACACAGATCAATGGGTTAATGAACAGATTAGCAAGGTCAGAAACTGACACAAATAGACAAGTAATTTTAATATATGGCAAAAGTGGCAAATTATATCAACATGAAAAAGGACTACTGAATAATGGATATTAGGTGGCTGAGTGAACTTCTGAAAAAATCCTAAATCAAATCTGTACAACACATAATATACCACAATAAATTTCAAATAGAGAAAAAGGTTTAATGTCACCTAACACTGCTAAAGAAATTCCAACAAGTCATATTCCCCCCATTAGCCATCTGTGAGGATATTCAATTTCCTAGTATGTGACATTTTAAAACATTTTAACTTTTGCAAACTAAATGAATAGAAACATGGCCTAAGGGCCGGGGATTTAGCTCAGTGGTTCCGCCACCTGCTTCGCAAGCACAAGGACCTGAGTTCGATCCCCAGTACCAAAAAAAAAAGAAAGAAAGAAACATGGCTTCTTGTTTTAAGTTTGCATTTTCTTGATTACTATGGCTTCAACATTTATGCATTTATTGCCCATTTGGGTTTCTTTGTTTGTGAATTTGCCTGTTTGCATTTTTTAGTCCACTTTTCTCTATTTGGTTGTATTTTAGGATTTCTTTAATTTATAAAATATAATCTATTGTTTGTTTTATGCGAAGCAATTATTTTCTTCTATATCACTGATTATCTTTTAATTTTATATATAGTATCTTCTGGTGTGCCCCTATTTTTATTTTTATTTTTTTTAAGAATAAGAAAAACTTATTGAGAGAAAGAAGGCTTCTGTCTAAGAGAGACAGAAAGGGGACTGGAAAGTGGGTTCCCCCCCGTTTTTATTTTTGATGGAGACAAGTTATTTTCTTCCTTTGAGATTTTTACTTTTTGTGTCTTACTGAAAAAGACATTCCTGGGGCTGGGGATTTAGCTCAGAGGTTTCACCACCTGCTGCACAAGTTCGATCCCCAGTACCAAAAAAAAAAAAAGTACATAGAAAAAGACTTCCTAGTCTTAAGGTCACAAAGATATTCTCTCGCATTGTCTTACAAAGAGGAGAAGAAAAGAATGAGGAGGAGGATGAAGGGGAGAAGAGAGAAAGAGAAGGAGGAGCAAGGAACAGCACCTTAATTTTTATGGTATATATCTCATATATTACAAAGAATGCTATATGCAGTCAAAGACAAGTGACAAAGTAAGAATAATATTTTTATTACATATCACAGATAAATCTCCACAATACAAGAATGCTAAAGAACAATAAGAAAATACAGAACCATAACAGAAAAATTGTCAGAATACATTAATAAACAATTGATAGAAAATAAAATACAAAAGGTCCTTAATTATATAATTGAAATGCCAATTTAAAATAAGCTTTGAGTCCATTTTTCACTTAGTCATTAAACCCATAAAATTTTGCAAAAAAAGCCTACTGATCCGGTGCTCCTCTCCACGGGTCAGCCAAGCAGCAAGAAGCTCCTCGGCCGCGTCCTGGTTCCTGGCCACGCCACAGTGAGGTTCTAGGAGCAGCTTGGAGCCCCGCCTCCATGAGGCACTCTGCTTAGTCAGCTTAGCCACGCGGGCGACTGCAAGGCCCAGTTCTACTCTCCCCCCACCCCGCCTTCCAGCTCTTCTGCTAACTGGTCCCACACTACAGAGGCACAGGGGATTATACTTCATGTAGTTAAATGTGATAGATTAGTAACAACCACAAATTGTCATTTTTTAAGCTGCGCTTGATGCTATGGTATTGCTGATTGTATCATTTGGCCTAACATGTTGTGATTGATCTAATCAGTTTTCCTTCCTGGTATAAGAAAAATAAAATAGCCTCAGAGTCATTAGAGTTTCAAAACCTAAACAGAAGCCATATCTGGAAGACAGCTCTGAAAAGCAATCATTCCTCAAGGGCTTTAAACACAAGCAACAAAGATACCTGCATTAAGCAATTTTGAAATATCAACCTAGGAATTAAACCAAGGACAGTACCAAAAACAAAAATGAGAAAACATTTAAGCAAGGCACAAAAGCTGGCTTCCATGCCACAAAAAGGAATTTCTGGGGGAAATGAGGTGGAAAAGTCTGATAAGCAACCACCTGGACACCCTGAACTGATAGCACAGGAAGTAACAAAGCTGATGCATGAGGCTGTAGAAAAATTCAAAACAGAAATAATCTCCCAGATAAATACAGACATGGTGAGTAGAGTGAAAGACATGATTAGAGGCTCTAGAGCAGAAACAGATAAGAAAATAGATGAGATCAGAAACATGCTGGAAGCCATGAATGCCCAGCATAAGAAAGAAATGGAAACCATGATCGCCCAACATAAGAAAGAAATGGAAT